TGGTCACTTCTGACCCAAGCTCATAACATCAGATCATCAGATCTTGGCTTCGAAGTTACTACCATTTGTCGATGTTTTCTAGCCAAAATAGACCGTAATTCATCCATCTTGGTCTTTTCATCAAAATACAATATATTCATGTTCATAAAATGGTAAAGAGTACCATCAGTTATTCAAATATACCGATCATTTTTTTCTTTATTGTTTTCATTTTAAGTATCACTCGCTGACTCATTCTATAAAAACTAATTTTATAAACAAATCAGATATTTGAAGTGCTTCCACTTGGTTTTTCATTTATCTTAATATACTCATTTGTATTCATAAAAGTTGTTTTTCTTGTTATTTATCATAGATTCTCAGTTTCTTTTCAGTAAAAAGCAAAACAATCCTTTCTAGACATCAAAGAAAATATCTTATCAAGGTAATTTTCTGGGAACTGATCGGCTTGTGATGATTCAATGATGAAAATAATCTTATTTAGATCTGCTATTAGAAAACAACTATTTCACAGTTTGTAACAATTTAAATACCTTTGACTTTTCTCTGAAAGTTTCATAGATTGAAATTTACAATTGATATTGATTTTGGTTTCGTTTTTTGTGAAGAAAAAACCTTGATATCGGTCTTTCTACAAAAAATATTTAAACACAACAATCTTGATTAAAATTCACAAGTTTCAATCATCATGCTAGAAAAAAAATCAAATCATTACATTAATCATTGTTATAATTATATTTTCGGTCTTGACAACATAGTCTACAGAAGACATTACCTAATTTCAGAAACAAAATACTATAATTTTCTTCATGGTAGAATTCATTCAATTTATTTACGTTAATTTTTTTCATGATTTTGCACTAGAAAAAAAACTTGAACTTACTATTATTCTATGATGCATTACCAATTACACTTGGCTCGTGATAAAAGAAACTGTAGGGGACCATTTCCACCGGAAGATAACGTGCTTATTCCCATCTGTTGTTAAAACAACTTCTCTCTCTCTCTCTCTCTATATATATATATATATATTCGTACATTGTCATATTTTAAATAAATAAAAGCAATGAACGCACGCATGATATTCATACGTATGAGTGATGATATACTTAAAGATACAAATAGTAGCGATCCTGTTGTAGCTAATAATCGTGTTATTAAACTTGCAATTTTATTACCATGTCAAGTGTTATCAATTATATGTTCTCTATTTGTATTTATCAATATCATATATCGACCATCAAAATTAATAAAACCAATTGGAAATCATTTTATTCTTGCATTGTTAATAACAAGTTTTGTTCAAGTAACAACTGAATTATCAATGGTAGAAAACTATTTACATACTGGTGTTGTTCGACCATCAACATATAGTTATTGTTTATTTTTTAATTGGTATGAATTTTCATTAAATGGTATTAGTTTATTTGTTAGTAAGTTATTTGTTTGTTTGTTTTTTGAATTCATCAACTGTTTATAAGTTTTAGTGGTTTGGGCATCTATTGAGCGTCATATTATCATTTTTTCTCAGTCTATTTATCAAATTCAATGGAAACGTATTGCTTTTCATTATGTACCACTTAGTATAGCAATACTATATACACCAGCATGCTATGGTTATCTTATCTATATATATAGTTGTTTTAATAATTGGAATTATTATGAATTATTATGTACGGCACCATGTTTCTATGGAAATAAAATTATGGGTATTGCAGATTGGTTAGTTAATATAATCATACCAGCTTTTGTAATTGCTTTTGCAAATCTTTTACTAATTATTCGAGTTATATATCGTTCAACTGGAATAAGACATAATGCTGAACGATCAAAAAAGAATCGAAAAATGACCATACAATTACTTGCAATTGCATCACTTTTTCTTATATTTTGGTTACCAATTGCGATTACGGGTTTAATTCAACAATTATTCTCTCCAACATTTCTTATTGATGTTCAATTTAATATCTTCTTCTATTTAATTTATTTCATTCAACTATTTTTGCCCTTTGTTTGCTTAATTTCTTTACCAGAATTGAAAAAACTTGTAATCATCAAAATTAGACAATGGACACACAGAAATAGGGTAGGTGATACAACAACATTACAAGTCGGATCTATGGTTCCAACATTATTCAATTAATTGTATAAACAGAGTGTCTTCGTATAAAATAAATCATCGGAAATGAAATCTTAGTACTTTGAACCAAAAAATTTTATTATCAGAAAAAAGCTGATTCTTTTTTCGTTTCTAATGTCATTCCTAATATTTCTTTTTTTCTTGTATACTAATAATGAACATATGTCGTATATATTTTCCTTTTCTTTTTTTCTCATATTGATGTTTACATATTTGTTCGTTTTGACATTGTCGTGTTGTGTTTTTCTCTTTTACTCTCTTCATTATTTATCTACATGTGTATCCTACTACGAAAGCTCAAGCTTATTATTTATCAATAAATGAAACAGTCTTTGATGTTGTCATAGCTGAAAAAAACTGACATCAGATGTTATCTTCTTAAATGGTTATGCTGATCAGTGATTGTTGATTATTTTTCATATGTTCAATATAGACATTGAAAATTAGGTCACAAGATTTATTTGAAAAAAGAATAGGTAAGAATAATGAAGATTGATTTTCATGAATGTTAAATGTATTCCTACACAAATTATGTGTCACTTATTGTCAAGATTAGCTAATTTGATGGAGAAAAAATATTTCGTTTGTTTTGTTTGATTGCCTTCGTGTGTCTTGAAAACCTTTCCGATAGCTGATTTTTGACATTTAATTTCTAATATTTTGTGTTTATTAATTGTTAATGTGATATTATCATTCATAGTTAAACTTTACTCAATGATGATGTTAATCAAGTTGATCATGTCCTTGTCAGTAGTCAACTTATTGTTTGATTAGACAATACGTCAATATGTAATGTTTCAAGAATCATATTAAAACGGACAAAAATTTTAAATTTAATTATTTTTAGCATTTGATTATCAAATACACTCCATCAGCAACGTCCTATATATTACTAGAACGCATCAAAATAAGAGACATATTGTTCTGTATTAATGAAAAAAGTATATCTGTCATAATTGATGCTGAAAATTCTATTACAACTGATATTCTAGTTGGCATTATTGTTAGAGGAGGTTAGTGCGACGAACTGAATAAGTGTCTATACTGTTCTTTTTGATAATGATATTGATCGGACTACTTCATTATTACGTTACATATATATTACAATGAGTACATTCTCATATATTACTCGTACAAGAGAAGAAAAAAATGAGAAACATCTCTAATCATGATCACTATCAAGGAATAATTTATACAGAGAAGAGAGAAGATAGAAAGTAAAACCCAACGGTCATTTACCGTTACAAATAAAGGTATTTTGTTTCAAATGAAAAAAGAAATGTATGATGTTTCAGACTCTCGCGGATAGTATATTCGCCATTGGCAAAATTACAGGTATATGTTAACAGAAGTCCTGTTAGCAAAAATCATATAGGCTGAATTCCGGTCGCCGTGACATATCTTTCATTTCATTTGTTACAGCTCTACAATCATTTTTTTGAACGGTATGCACCTATTATCATATTTAGAATTAGTCAGATGTGTCATGTGCACATCCCATATATCATAGCAAAGAAAAACTGCTAACTATATGCTTGATGAACAGAGAAAATGTTATTTTTGAACCTTATCTATCGTTTAAATCTCACTAATCTTTGCTCAGTTTTCATAGATTTCCTGTTCACTATAGACTGGTACACTGATCATTCACAATTCTTTCTCAACAAACACCAGCATGTAGGCACTCAAATCCGGCATTTTTATTCAATTATTTATCAGTTGTTTTTTTTCTTTTAATTAACAACAAATCCAGAATTACAAGAAATATTTTTTTTGGATTAAAAAAACAAACCTAAAAGAATTCAATCGATATGAAAATATTTAGTTTTAAATTGATTCGTTGCACTTTTCATTTAATATACTTTGATTTGAAATATGACAATATTTCCCAAGAGAAAATAAAACTAAATTATCATGGGTAACATATTACACAATTTCATCTAAACTATGACATAAAAGTCCTTCATATGAATAAGAGGAAAATTGATGGTATTTGCAATTGATAGTAAATACTGTAAATCATTAATAATCAGTGTCTCTCTGTTGACAAATGCCAATCATAGAATATATGAGTATAACCAGATAATTCTTCAATAAAACAGAATTCAAATGAGATGATCACGTAGATATTTGTCTTTGTCACTTGAAGAATGAAATATCATTCATCTTCAGATGCAAATATTTGATATTTTTTTTTTGTTGAAAATAAATAATTCTTATTTGAAAAATAAAGTAAAGATTTAACAGCAAAATCGTATTTGTTTTCAATGGAGACAAATACAAAATAATGCAATGAATGCTCTCCAATGATATGGATATTAATACCGATATGAATATTCTAGATAATAGACAGTGATGAATTATATGGAGTAAATTTTCATAATAACAAAACTGTATCTGATCCTCAGTGCACAATAACATTAATGAATATATCTTGAAAAACATAAGAAAATTAGACAAAATTTTATTGTTTGGATTGTTCACAATGAGCATAAACATTTAGTATAATAATAAATCATAAACACAGTAGATTTTGTACATAAACTAATAGAAGTATCTAATCATAGCAATGGAGAGATTCTTGCATAGCTTACTATCTTTAGTAAAAAATAAACTAGTTTTCAAATTATACATGTATAATATTATAAATTACTGACGATTACAGTTCATTGATAACAGTTAGCCCTTGAGTTTACTGAAAATTTCTTTATCCTGCCAACAACAAAACAAAACTAGTTAAAATATTTTGTATAAGATGAAATGTATGTAAATGATGATAAGGTTTATTTCAAATTGATCTTATAACACACAGTACAATCAAGTTTAAGTTTAGAAAATGTCAGTTGTTAAAATGTAAAAATTATCCTCGTGCAACACATTGCCGACCACGTTTTGCATTGCCATCATAACACATAAGACCTGGACAACATGGTGGTAGACCTGGTCCACATGTCCATATATGTGGGAGACACATCGGTTGTAATTGAGGTTGATATTGTTGTACAGGTAATACATTAAACAGTTTTTGTCGGCGAACCAAAACTTCTTCATTTGAACTTTCATTATTACCTTCATCTAATTCTCCTGATCGTTCTTTTAGATACATTTCAAGAAAACGATTGAAATCATCCGAATTAGAACGAGGATAAGAAAAAACTAAAGGTATTAATAAAAGGATAAAACAATGAAAATAATTCATCTTGTAAAGAATATTCCAATTCTAAAAGTAATACTTTGAGTAATACTGTAACTGCAATCTATATATATATATGCGGCACTCACGTATCAGTGGAAGCTTTGAAAAATTTATTACAATGTCACGATAAATATATGTACTTTGTCAAAGACAATCTATTATATAGTTCTATGATAATGAGGATATGTGTATGTGCGTCTGTGACGTCTATTTACTATTGATCTCCATTATAGAATGGAAAAAAAATGCGACATTACACGTTTATTCAGCATTTTTGTTTTCATCAGAATAAGAAAAGATTGGCAATATGCAGACGACTTTACTGTAGATAAAATAAAGAAGAAAAAGAGAGAAAATTCATTGATTTATCTATCAAATGATGTGTTAATTCATAATATCATATTTTTTCTCTTGTTCTCAGCTATGCAACTCTTATATGGTTATAGACTAAAATAATATACTAATAATTTTATCATGAATAACTAAGATTTTCTACATACGATTGATTATATGACTATTGCCAACTATTTCAAAATAGTAAATCTGAAATTGGTCGAAAATAAAAATGTCGAAAAGGATGTGAGTATGAGGTGAGATATTGGTGTGGATGGGGTTGTGAGTGTGGATGGGGTTGTGAGTGTGGATGGGGTTGTGAGTGTGGATATGTGGATGTTTATATAGGTGAGAGTGAGGGTGAAGGTGAAGGTATAGGTGAGGGTGAGGATGTAGGTGAGAGTGTAGATGAGGGTGAAGGTGAGGGTGAGAGTGAGGGTGTGGGTGTGAGTGTATGGTGTCTGTGAGGCGCTGGAGATAGGTGTGAATGCATGTGTGTATATTCGTGTTAATGTGGGTGTATGTGGGGATGTTCTGATATTGATGTGGGTGCGTGAGAATGTGTTTCTGGATGGCCTTCCGTCACACAACTGGACGCTCAGAACTCACACTTCATGCACACCCCTCCTGCTTTCTTCCCTATTCCTCATTTTCGACCCCTCTCTTCACGACATGTTATTTTCGATATTTTTTTGAACATTTAAATAGTGTGTTATTTAAATTTTCAAAATTTTTATTTTCGATATTTGTATATTTCGATATTTTTATTTTCGACATTTTTGTTTCGACATTTTTCAGGAGAACCTTCAAAATATTTCAAAAAAAGAATTTTTTCTGTTGTCAGTTATAAAATAGACAAAAAGTCATAATGCCACTTGCTCAGATGTTATTATTCTTTTAGAGACTTCTCATCTTTCGCTGAATAATGTAGGTGTAAAGAGTCAATATTATACCATGATGCAAAGATAACAATTTTTAACATATACTATACATAATTTGCATACATGAATCATCATACATATTAATGTCAGTGTTTATTAATTATTAGTCAATAAAATTGAAACATAATATATACATTAAGATATACATTAAAAAGTCTTTTTTTATTATTATACTTTTTCCTCTAATCATTCTGACTAAATTCTTAATAAAACTCATGTTTCTTTTTGCGCATTCAGTTTGATATACTTGAAAATCAAAGAAACACCTATCCTTTTAGCATATATTATGATGATAGAGATTATTACAAGTACATTACGACATAGTAAAGTAAGATGTATGACACAGATACACACGTCTATTAACATTACTATGACAGATGGCAACTATGCAACATAAGAAAAATTGATTGGCATTGAGATATTGATATTGAATCTAGATAATTTTCAATGACAACATGTTAATAAATGAAAGTATACATTCTCATATATCTATCACGTTCATTTTACGTGTTACATGATCCTTTTTATCATATGAAAATATTTAATTAGACTATCGACTCTTCATATCTGTTAATATATGAAAAGTTTTAGTCAAAAGGGTACAAGATCATCTTTCATTTAATTTTGATTTTTTACAAGGATTGTTGTTTTCTAAACAAGTTCTTTTATTATGAATAAATATAAACATATTTTCTCGGTGAGCTTGCACTAGATTCAAACCAATTAGCTATTCAGTTAATTAATTAAAACATAATTAGAGAATAACATTCTAATTTTGAAATAGAAAAGATTCAAGAATGTCAGAATAGACTTTACACCATGAGCTACATCTAATAGTGAAACTTTCAGCAAGATCAAACTCCAAAAATATTATCACCTAAAAAACGATTTTCTAGAGATCTCTTCATGCTCCGAAACAAGATTTTTCATTCTGTTATTCTCTTAGGATTTTCAAAGAATGTTTGTATAATATTTTTCGTTTCTATATTCGTACTCTATTATGTCTTCATCAATAGGTAAACTCAATCGTTTAAAAAATCTAAGTATGTTCAGCAAGAAAAAACTTTATGTAAAGATTTTGTTGCCTGAAGAATTCTCTACAAATGCATTATTTAGTTTTGTAAAATACTACTCAAACTCGTAGTACTTTTAAATGAGAACACATATAGTAAAAAAAGCTTTTGAATTTCTTTGTATTACGTTACTAATACTAATTTTTCAATCATAACTTGCCCTAAGAGAAATTTCTATGATGAAGGGTGTGAGCGAACAAAAGATCCATATCCCATCACACATTCTCTAAAAATTAACGAGATTTATTAAAGAAATCTTTATTAATCATTTTGAAAACGATAGCATATAGGTGATAAATATATAGCAACTGTATTAAGTTCATAGCGTATCATGTTTTAATGTAAGCTAGAAGATCGAAGAAAGTTGTTACGTCATGTAGATATTCTCTCTGATGAATTATGTTTATAAAGAGTGAAATAGTAATAGAAATAGTATGATCAGTTGTATGAAGTAGTTGACCAAGAAACATACTTGAGTTACTGTCATCTTCTTTCAATATATCTTGTGCATAGAAAATAATCAAAGAAATTAAGTCATATTCGAATGCATTTCTCATTTGTTGTTTTGATAATTTTTCAAATATGGAATCTTTTTTTATTTTAATTTTGTCTTTTTTTTTTTATAATAAATAATAAATGTATTAATATAATTCACAAACATTTGTTTCAATGTCACATACGAAGATAAAATTTGTGCTCGTATATTAGTGAAAAAAACTCGGTTCATATGTGATATTTCATGTCTCCGGAAAAAAAAATGAAGTATGAAATTTTTATAGTGACTAATTATTTCACAAACTAGACGAAATATAAGCTCTATACATCAAAACATTAAGTTTAAGATGTAGCAGTTGCTGTTGGTACATTCGAAGCATTCTCTTGAGTAATACCAAGTATATTTTCAATATCATTTATCGCTAACTATATATTAAATAGAATTTTCTCCAAAAAATTTATATTACAAATAACAAATTACTTACTATAAAATTACTTCGTCCTTTCATACTTGCTGTTGTAATTTCTTGATTAATAGCATTTAAATTATAAGCAAAATTTGATAATGTATTTTGTAATGTATCACCAATGGTAATCATACCAATATTTTCATGACGATCACATTCAAGTAATGTAAAAACACTTCCTTGTTTTTCACGAATATCAAAACCAACACCATGTGCACGACACATTTGAAAAAAGACACTATAATGAAGAACTGATAAATTCGAATGATGTAAACGTGAACTCCAAACAGCATAACGATTTTTTTCCACAATCTATTTGTAAAATAGAATAATAAATTAAAATATATATTTATACAGGATGGCTCATAAACAACTATAGAATAAAAAAGAAATTTGATATCTTCAATCAGCTTTTATTAATCTCATTGATTGTTGTCTTGTTGATAGAAAACTTGTCAAAGTTGTTGTTCATAAGAAAACTGTCTAATTGATACTTTGTAGAACTAACATTGTTAACTTCAATGAAAGACGTACACTCTTGGTTAAAAGTGTCTCATCACTGTGATCTTAGTCATTCTTAGGGCTAGACATATGAAATTTTTAGTATATATTCTGGCTTATAAATGTAGTTTAGTAAGACTGGTTCACTCTCGTTCTCTTGAATTGAAAAGAAGTTATCATCAATAACAATCCTATTTAACTGTGACTCCTAGAAATCAAGAAATGAAGAAGCTAATCATTAGACGAATCTATTTATATGCAGTCATTTTATCTATCTACTTAAGCTATAAAGTTCATCGATTGCCATCTAAGCATTGAATATCTGGAGTTATTTTTATATGATGTTAGATTAACTAAGTCATACACTTTTCCCTTCTTGCATAATAGAATTCATAGTGCGGTGAATCGTCATAAATCATTACTCTTCTTCAACTCAAATGATAGGAACTGAGTCGATCTCTTTGGCCTACATTTCTAAAGTAGTAGATATAATACTATAAACTTCATATGTGTTATCATCAAAACGGCCGATAGTGTATTTCTTTATTAAGATCAGTACTACTAGTTTAAAACCGTCTCTATTACTGGTTGTCTTATAAATAAAAGTTGTGAAGAATCACCTATCATCAAGAAATAAAATTTGCCCATTAATACAAAGTAGACAAGATGTATTGAGTGTTTGTTATAGTCTAGTAAATTATGAGTCATTCTGTATATCTAATTTTTCTTACATTATATTCAGGAACAGAACCTTGCCAATTTCTTAATCGTTTTGCTTGTTTAACTTTAGCTGTAAATAAATGTGTTTGTGGATCAAAATGACCAGTTGTAACAAAACGCATAACACGATAAAGTGATACATGTTCAGAATATCCAATTGATAAATCAATAGTCCATACTTGTTGTTTATCAGTTTTAGCATCAATAAATGTAACAAAATCAATATCAAGATAACCATATATATTTCTTTGTTTACATTGTTCAACAATTTGTGAACAATAAAGATTTAATTCATGTGATTCAACACTTGATTGTGGAAATGATAAACCCCAACAAGAAAATTGTGATTCAGCATGTAAATGATCACCAGAACATATTATTGTATGATGACCATCAGGTTCAATTGAGAGGCAAACAGTTATTGATGTAACTGAATCTGATGGTGGATATGCTTCAACAATACCACCTTGAGCTAAAAATACTTTTAAATAATCTTGCCAATTATTAAATTGAGCTTTATTCACACAAATAGTATGTTGTTCAAGAACATCAGGTAATTCGGAAAGAATTTTTGCATATGAATGTTCCTAAAAATTTAAAATATATATTATATTTAAATTAAAGAATATTTTTTTTTGTTTCGTTACTTGTGCCCATCTATTTGACCATTTATCACCAAATCTAGCTGCTTCTTTTAAAACATTTTTATAACATGGAAGATAAGTAACAACATCACAATATGCTATACCTAAACCATCAAAATCATCATCTATTTTAAATAACCATCGTTGAACATCAAGATGTTCAACAATTAGTTGTGCTAATGATTCAAATAAATGTTGTTGATTATAAATATCATATTCACCAAATGGTACTGGAACTTTACTTGCTTCAAATATTCGTTTTGAACCTGATTTTGTTGAATATAAATATGATGCTTCAGGTTCACAACCTAATAAATTTTATAGGAAAAAAAAATAAAACTCATTGAAATAGAAGAAGGAATATGAAACATGATGACTCACCAAAGATGGGAATATCAAGATATTCAGATATGTAAAGGTCATCAATGTGAGAAACACCTGTGACAATGTAAGCAGTACGACCTTTTATTAAATTTTTGATTCTACAATTCGAATGTGATAAATATAACAAATCATTTTTTTTTAAACTTAATTACCGTTTCAAAGCTCTTGGACTATATTTAAGTAAAGTAGCTAAACACATATTATGCATCTAAATATCCAGAAGTTAATTCGAAATAAACTGGAAAATAGTTATCTTATTACATACAGGAAAACTATGTAATGCTTCTGGTACAACAATCATAAATCTTTCACTAGCATTCGATAATGTTGATGATGATCCTTGTTCAGTATTTTGTTCTACAGATGATCGTAAATTCATCTAAATAATAACATAATCAAAAAACTAAATCTCATAATTAATTTCTTACTAATTTATTATAATATTGTAAAATTTCATCATTAATAGTCATTGGTGAAACATATATAATATCAACATTTGGATCATATAAATCACATAAACGTCCTATTTGATAATTTTCTCTTACAGGTAAATTATTTAATTTTCTTCGAATACGTTGTGATAAACCTAATGATGGTATATGAACAATAACACGACGATTTGTTGATATTGATGACCAATTTCGTCTTAATTCATTTTGTTTTGTTTTAAATAAATCTAATTGACGATTACGAATTACTATTAATTGTCTTCGTACTTTAGATAATTTAACATGTGTTAACCATGTTAATGCAATAACACTTGCTGCCCATTTACGTTTACGTAAACGTATATAAGCACGACGATCACGAAAACAACGCCAATATGATTGAATAGCAATAGCTGCTCGTTCTTTACCACCACTACCAAAAAATCGTCGACCCTATTTCATTGTAACAAAAAAAATATATATTTTCATTGAAAAAAAAAAAAACTAAATTTTACTGGTTTTTTAATTAATTCTTCAACTTCATCTCGATTAATCACTGTACTAAGAAGTTCTTCTAATGTTGGTTTATGTTCAAATTCAATTGTTTGTGCAAGTTCAGTAACTCTAATTATTTAAATTAAATAATATTGATTTTTTTTGCAAAATAAGAATTTCTCTTACTTTTCTCCATTAATAAATGCAACTGGTATAGCATAATCATGCATAAGTTTTTCTAATATACGAAATACTGTTACAATACTTCCCCACATTAAACAATAAAATTGTCGAAATTGTAGAAAATCTTCTGTTTGATCTTTTGTTGAACCATTTTGTATAATTAAACGAAATGTTTTTTTATATTCAAAATTGGATGCTGGTGTTGGTAATGGACGACCAACAAGACTACCAATACCACCAGTATTTGTTGCTATTAGACTACCTTTTTGTGTTTGATTAGCAGATGATTTACGTGATTCAATAATGTCTGATTCATGTGGTTTATTATGTGCTAATAAAAGATTTAGATCTTTTTCACTTGGTTCAGTTAATGTTCCACTTGATATATGATCCATTAATGGTGGTGGTGATAAAGCTTTATCAGTTATAGCAAGTTGTTTAATATTTGGTGGTTCAAGATGATAAACAGATATATTAGGTTCTTCTAAAAAAAAACTCGCTTTTTTTTGTACATGAAAACAATTTTAATAATGAATTTGAATATAGTTTGCATAGCGATAGGAAGATCAATCGTTTTGGTTTCGGTCTCTATGGAAAAAATTTTTGGTCCAGTCTTCACTCATAGGAGAAAACTGCTTCAACTGACATCCACTGGTTGAGTTCATATTGAACTCGCAGAATGATTCAGTGAGAATAGCAAAAGTCTAAAAGCATTTGTCCCCATTAGCCTTTGACATCGAGTTATGATCGGTTTAAAGGATTTTCGATTCATTTATGGATACTTTTCTGAAGATCGAATAGCGAATATTTGATTCAAAAGTTTGCCTGTTAATAGATTTAATTACTCTTAGAATATTCTGAGAATTTTCAGCCGAAAAGAATGATCCTTCGTCAAGATATTGAATTTCCAAAAATAGTCCTTTGTCACAAAAATCGAGTTCACTTGAAAATTCAATAATTTGACGAAGGGGAGATTCTTTTCGGTTGAAACTCTACGAATATTCTAAGAGTCAATTAATCTATCCACGGCAAAATTTTTAGATCAAAATTTCGCTCTTCTATCTTTCTGCAAGTATCTACAGATGAGTCGAAAACACAGTAAACCGTTTATAACTCAGCAGTAAAGGTCAATGGGGACGAACTCTTTTAGATTTATACTATTGTCACGGAGATCTGTCTGTGAATTTAATATGAACTCAAACGGTGGGTACCACCTAGGGTAGTGTCCTTGTTAGTAATATATGTAGTAGCAAAAAATGCCATATCATTTTCTAATAGTGTCAACGAGTACGAAACATCTTGCATGACTTCTTATATCTTCTCTGTTGGAGGCTCATTACTTTCTTTTAATCCATTAATACTTCGTCAACTCTGTTGTTTCCAAAAAAAGAAAGATTAATTTCACTATTAGAATAATAACAGCAAATATTGGGTGATAATTACTGAATAATTTTTTAGAATACAGGAGTCATGAGAATATGAAATTTAACGCTAGTTTTACATGACTATAAAAAAGATATCACTTGAAATAAAAACAGTGTTGCTTCCGAGATCATCTTGCCCATAACTAATTTTACCTCTAATATATGTTCGTGTTCGTAAAGTTGGGTCGTTTAGACTTGATTTTTTCGGTTGAATTGGTGGTGGTTCTAATGTAATATGTGCACCTTGTGGGATAATACCACGTTCGACTAAACTTATAATTCCTCGTTTAGCATCTTCTGATGTTAATGGAACAGGATAATCCTAAACAATATTATGTATATACAAGCATCGAATAAAGAAAATTTTATTGATATTCTTACAATTGGATTACGTCGACTTTTAAGTGGTAAAATACCAAGTGGTTCAGTTGTTTTTCCTAACATAAGATTTTTTGATGGTGGCTAAACACAATGATCTAATTGCTGTGATATACAGTAAAAAAAAGAAATCGAAATATTACGGTTCGTTGTTGTTGTTTTTCAATAATAGGTAATTGAATACCATAATTATCATGTAATAATTGACGATTACGCTTATTAAATGGATTACGCATTATTTTAGCTTCATATTCTAAACGAGCAACAGCACCTGGTGCTACTAATCGTTGTTGTTGAGCACCTATGGAAACAATCGGCATGCCTTCATTATGTCTTTGACGACTAAAGCAAATAAAAAAAAATTATTTTTAATAATTTTTTTTAATAGTAAAAAAATGAAAAGCAATAGTTCAAATAACGATGAAACAACTGTTGACCTAGTATATAGTTTTTCTCGTGAACCACCGTTAGCACCATCACGATATTGTTGATATTGATTAAATTGATCAAACATCGGTCCATCTTGAATGTTTTGACGTCCACCACGTAATTGATTAAAATTTAATGTAGTAACAGTATTTCCATTGAGCATATTTAATACATCATCTGTTCTCTCCTATTAATTTTCATGAAAAAGAAACTTTATATATATATATATTTTTTTAATACAAATAAATGTGACCAATATACCTTTACAGTATGTTCGACTCGAGAAAGCATTTCTGATAAATTATTCAGGTCCGTATTATTACCTTGTGGTTGTCTGGAAACGTATGTTTTAAGTGTATGAAATTCATCACGAATCTATGACAGATATGTATGTATGTCAAAATAATTAAGAAATAAAAAGAATTTAGATTACTTCTTGAAGAATATCGCACACTTTCTCCGCATTTGGATTGTCACCATTACTATTACGATTCGATGTGGGAACTAAGGCCATCATTTTGATTACAAATTATATATTCTAAAAGTAGTTCTTTTACGATGAAACAAACATGATTAATAGTAAAGTTTCATTTTAAATATTGAAGTTATTTATACAGTTTTGGTATAAGAAACTAATGTCTGAACAGATTTCAATATCGTCTTTTTTTGTTGAAAAAACAATAGAAGAATTTTGACATTTTCTAGAGTCTAGCATCGAACTTCAAAACTTAACTTTGATTTCGTTCCAGTGATTGTAAAAAGATTTTTCCGAATTACATGACTAAAATAAATCAAGTATTTTTATTCTAACATAGTAAGAACTTTATTCTTTATATGTTCATTAATGAACATAGTCTATTCAAAAACAATTTTCGAATTTTATCAGAGTCAAACAGTTTGATTTTAAAATTCTATAGAATTTTTCATTACGAAAATATAGATTTCAATGGAATTGCTGCTACTCTTTTATAAAGCTGAGGCGACTATCGAATTTCAATTACACTATTTCTATTAAATTTCTTATGGTTTTTAAACAAGATTTTAATTCTAATTGATTACGCGCCCATATCATTCTTATTAACTCTTGTTTCTTTTTGTTGTTGATATTGCATCAAAAAGAAGAGAAGAATATTTCGTACATAGTACACAGCTAGAAAAAAAAACAGAAATGCAATACGGAGGAGGTGGCAATGCTTTTAGCAATCTTGTGTCTAATGGATCTTATTCATTTTCGAATCCAGTATTTGTTGCATTAGCTAGTTATTCTTCTATGACACTATTAAAAATGCTTGGCATGTCAACTTATACAATGATTCAACGTTTTCGTACAGGAAATTTTACAACATCTGAAGATGATATTTATAAACAAATAATGAATCGATTAGGTCATTCTAATGGTACGACAAAAAATAAAAATGATATAGTTGAACGTGCACGAAATAATCATTTAAATGATTTGGAAAATATTATTCCATTTGTTTTAATTGGCCTTTTTTATGTTGGTACTCGACCAAAATTTGATTATGCTCTTTGGCATTTTCGAATTTTTTTTCTTTCACGTATATTATATACTATAGCTTATCAGGTATTTTTATCTATTGTTTTTTTAAATATTATTTGCTTAATACTTCAAATTATAGGTTCCATTACCTCAACCAACACGTACAATCTCATGGCTATTAGGTTATTCAAGTATAATTTCAATGACAATACCAATATTTCGTTCAATTCAAATCTAAATAAATCATTTGTTCTTAACTCACCAGCTGAAAATAGAAACAAATGTTTCAAGAAGTAAATGATAAATAAACAAAGAAAAAAAATCTATGAAAAGAAGTGTCAAAAAAAGAATTTTTTTTAATTGAAATTTAAAAAAAAAAAAACCATTTGAATTGTATGATGTCTCGGTAATAGACCTCTATCAAATTTTTCTTTTTCTTTTTCTTTTTTTCTTTTTAAAAAAAGCAAATGAGGTAATTCAAATGGTACGCTCAATGGACCAATAAATTGTTTTCATTTTGAACACAAAGAACGATATACACTGTCGCATTATTTATAAAGATATTTCGTTTTTTTTTTTCTTGTTTGTATAGTCAAGGTTTCCATCATTGTCATATACATAACCAGATCAGAAGCAATGTAATCGGTAGGGCATCATAAGAATAATTCGAGTGTTCAACAAAGAGAAGAAGGGAACACTTCTCTATGTTTTACAACCTCATCTGATTAGATGTGTATATTGTTATATAAGAGAGATGGATAATAAGAACATATCTATGCATATATATATATATATATATATTTATATGTATTATCGACATGTCGAGGTTGACATAAGTCTCTAACTCTTGTAGTATGTAAGATTACAACTAAGTTAGTATGATTGTCATTTCTTGTTGCCTTCATCATGTCATAAAAAAATAAGGTCATTTTCTGAGATTAAGATTTGGTTGTACAAATAATCTTGTCTTTTTTTGTCATACCATTAATAAGTTTGCACTACGCTTGTATTCATTTGATATAACATGTACAGATGATACAGATATATGTATATATATATTACTTGAGAATCAGACAAATTTAATATCAAACATGTTCTCATCAAATGATTGTTTTACCCTGTTCACATTTTTTTTCAATCAAAAATTTAGTATAATGAAGATTGTACATGTTTGTTTAATACTGACCATTATCGATCCATCTATCATAATCTAATTATGCTGATTACTTTTCTGTCCAGACAATGAGAATGAACAATGATGATCACGATCATTCTTGGTCATTCACTGTCTACGACAAATACTTGTATTACAATGATCAATCATTATTAAAGAACATCGTATATAGTTTGGTTGCATCATCATAGGATGAGAGGTCAGGTCACAGATAGAGATCAAACTAATCGTTATTGGATGAACAGAGTGTGACAGCTGTTACTCTCTGCTGACCCTGAGACGCATTTTTTTTGTGCGTTCGTTTTCTCTCTCTCTCTCTCTTTCTTTGTCTTCCTTAGTCATTGATAAATGAATGATACTTCTATTCATTTTTAGATCAGTATTTTGCCAATGAGAATGTTTGACTCGTACGAACATCAACAATCATCACCTGCTACATCTTCATGTGATATAGAATCAATGGACGAAATTCCACCTCCCACAGCATCATCAATACTCTCACTTAATGATGATCTGACAATATCAAATAGATTAAGTACAACAGCACCACAAAATTCAGTTACACTTCGATTCAAAGTTTGTTTCTTTGAAATAAAATATCATTTTAATTCTCTTTTTTTTTTGTTTTCTATTAAAGAAAAAACGAAAACGTAAACTTGAATCCGATACAGTATCACTTCGTTCACTTGAAGATATTGTTGGTGATCATTTTCAACGACGAAAACGTTTATCATTACCACGTTTATCATCTGTATCAGAATTATTAAGTCCAATGTGTGATCGTGTAATAAATATGCTTCAAACAACTAAACAATCATCATCAGCTAATTTATTAAATCTTATTAATCATAATACAAATCATAATTCAACTATACGTCGTAAACAAACATCACAACAAACATCAAATAATGTACCATCACCAACAACAATAAAAAAATTTCGTGCAGCTTGGTCAGAAACATGTGATGGAGAAAAATTAAAACAAACAATGACAGCAACAGAAATTGAACGACAAAATGTTCTTTATGAATTATTTTCCGAAGAACAACAAATGATTGAAAATTTAGGTTTAGCACAACGAGTAAAAACAAAAATTCATATAATTAAACATAAAAACTATAAAAACAAAATTTTTATAGGTCTATCGTAATGGTATGAAAACATTAAATATTTTAACAGATTCTGAACTGAAACAAATCTTTGGACCACTTGAAGATATTTTACCATTACATGAAGGTAAATGTGTTTTTTTTTGAAATAAAAAAAAATTTATTTAAAAAATGAAATTTCTATTTAATAGATCTTCTCTATCGATTAAAACCAAAAGGTAATTCATCTATTGATGCTGTTGGACAAATTTATCTTGAATGGGTATAATAATCTTTTTCTTTTATTAAAAAAAAAAAAAATTATTTTAATTAATTTAGTTTCAACGTATTCGTTCATCATATGTTTCCTATTGTTCGAATTTAATTAATGCAAAAGAATTATTAGATGCTAAACGATGTGAAGAAAATGGTCGTGTTGATGATTATCTTAAACGTTGTACTGATTCAGGTTTTAGTCGAAAACTTGATCTTTGGGATTTTCTTGGTTTGAAAACATTCTATTACATTTTATTTTTTTTTATTAATAATACTTTTTGATAGATCAACCACGTAGTCGTTTGATGAAATATCCAATTTTATTTAAACGTATTCATAAACGAGTAAGATAAATTTCTACTAATATCTCTTTAAGAGAACAACAATCTAATTTTCGTTCATGTATATTATACATAGAAAAGTGTTTAACAAGGGGAGATGTTCAAGTGTAATGCACCGTATTGAATCGAATATATACTAATTTGTAGACTATGATGAAACTCGGAAAAAAACTCAAAAGAGTTCATCATCATATCTTGTACTTCATGCATCATGACTATTTTATTAGATTTTCGATCTCTGGCAAGACAGATATGAGCAAGTCGAACTCTTGAAACCTGAAAGTTTGAAGACTCATTTAATGAATATGAGAGCCATCTATGAGCGACAATTTTCGTTATTTGGTTCTTTCATATGTACCATATTAGAGGTCGGAAGTTTAATACAAAGGTCATAACTTAAGAAGTATTTAGTATGAATACGAATTCTTCTATTATCGTAGTCACTAATCTGGTATACATAAGGTTTTAAACGGTACGTCACATCCGCACATCTTCCGTCATAAGATTGATTCACGTTTTATAATTAATCGAGAAAAACATACATTTGAAATTTTTCTCGAATAAAGAAAAAAATGTGAAAAATTAAAGAAACTGTACTTAAATTGAGTGTTTTTTCCTTTATTAATGAATACTCTCAGACATACAGTAACATATTTATTGTTTTTTTTTGTGTTAGACTAAAGATGGACATGAAGATAAACGAATATTACTTGATACGGTAAATAAATTGAATTAAAAGATATTTTAAAAAAGAAAAACAATTTATTTATATTTTAAGATCAATATTGTTGAAGAACTTATCAATGATGTTAGTCAAGCAACATCAGCACAACTATGTTCAAATGTTATTGCACGACTTGTTTATACGAATGATGAACAAGTAAAAAAAGAAATTTTGATGATATTTTTTTTTTAATGTTTTTTCAAACTAAATCTTTCTATTAGAAACATTCATTAATTGAAAAACAAACACGTATTATGTGTCAAGGTGAATTAAAAAATAATCGTGGCCATGTAAGAATTTTATTTTGATATCTATTTAAGAAATTATTTTCTATTTAAATAGAAATTACATGTATTTTTATTTGATGAAATACTTGTATTTACACGTATAGCAACTCGTAATGGTTTAAAATC